TCGAGTTCGAGGTCGGGGGGAGGAGTTCGAGTTCGATTGCGAGTTCGAGTTCGAGGTCGGGAGATTTTCTTTTCGTTGGGCGGGGGAGGGGGGAGTTCGAGTTCGAGTTCGAGTTCGAGGGTTCGAACTGTCGTCGTTCGAGGGCAGGGGGGGGGGGGGGAGGTCGAGTTCGAGTTCGAGTTCAAGGCTTCGAACTGGCATCGTACGTCTGCCCCGGAGGGGATGGGGGGGGAAGTTCGAGTTGGAGTTCGAGGGTTCGAACTGGCATCGTGCGAGGGCCCCGGAGGGGCGGAGGGGGGGGAGTTCGAGTTCGAGTTCGAGTTCGAGTTCGAAGTCAAGTCTGGGATCGGGAGGTTTTTTGTAAGCTGTGAAGGACGGGGAAGCAGGACGACCCCGCAATATTCGCCACTGACAGCCGCCCGGCGATCTTTTTACCGCTCGGGTGGCACGAGGCACCGCCAGCTGTCTTGGCATGCGGCCCGCATGGCTTGACGTAGCATCTCCACGACCTGCCAGGGATAGATTTGGACGGGAAAGCACGGGTTTTCCACATTAGTTATCCTAGGGTACTGGTTAGCAACTGGGGTAAAGCCAACAATCATGGCGATAAGATCTACTATGGTATAAAATGAGATGCCAATAAATCTGCTGGAATTTACGTGCTGTTAAGTGCTCTTGCAACAAATATACTGAAACTGTGGTGAACTACTGGAGTAATGAATCATAGTGAAAAACTGAGATTCAAGATTCCAGCAATAATAGGTTGACCTTGAGAATAGCCCTAATGTTTAGGTTGGAAAGTAGTCTTCCCACTTAGGTGGGGTCCATGTCAGTGGGAGTTGATTGGGAGTGCATGCCATCACGGACACCTCAGAAGATCTCACAAATTAAGGGATCTAACAGATCTTTCTGCTGGTGATGTGTACACACACACACATATATATATAAATATATATATATATATAATATATATATATATATTATATATCTCTCTCTCTCTCTTTCTCCCTCTCTATGCGTATATACATATCTTATGGCTAATTCCCCTAGCATCCAAATGAAATTCATATTAACTAGATCTCCCCACCAGGAAATGCGCTGCCGGCCTTGCTGCTCAAGGTCCCCTCTGCGTGGTCCAGGGCCTTTTGCCCAATCTCATCCTGTGCTTGCAAAAACCGCACCCTGAAAGATCCACAGGGAACCCGAAGATTTCTGTTTTGCAGCAGCAGATCACCTACACCCACACTGGCGCCTGAACGTTCAGGTTGGCGCGGGCCGTGATGAGGACCTTGAGGCAGTCCAGTTGCTGCTGCATGGCCGCCCAAATCAGTGGCGTCTCGCCCTTCTTGGTGTGTGCCTGACGGGTCAGCTTAAAGGAGGCGGTTGGAGGACTCATGTTGTGAGGGACACCGCTAGTTATATGGCATATGTATGCATGTGGATATATCATGTGTGTTTGCATGTGCATGGAGATCTACATGCGCATATATATATATATAGAGAGAGATTTTAGTTATATAAAACGATAATACATACACACATGCCCACACAATAAAATGTGAATGCTGAATATATCATAAGGGAGGTGAAGTGTTGAGGATCTTGGGCATCTTGGGTATATCAATCCCAAATTCGTACACTGATAAAACACATGTGGTGAAGCAAGCATCCGTCGCGAAACAACCTGTGATGGTCTCAGTCTATCCCTTTCTACGTCTTCTGCTAGTTGATATATAGGTACTCACATTGGCTTATGTGAACATGCAAAAATTCCCATTCAACCACGCAGTATTATATATATCCATCACAAAGACCAGACTTGGGCCGCCTCAATGAGACATTTGTGTTGGATCAGCATCGTCACCACGTCCTGCAGGAAGAATTCCATGGCTCCATGATGTCTGTGGCACTTTCAGACCTAAATTTTGGAGCACCAGACATTGATCCAGTTTGAGGTGCAAAGTTGACCTCCCGAGCCAGCTGGCAGAACATGGCAGAACGATCCAGCAACTCCTAGCGTGGGATTCTCCTGGCTACGCTTCGAACATCTGAAATCACCACAAATCCAAAACCAATCTTGGTTCATGACCCGCTAGGATGGAAATCCGACGGTCCGAGGTTATTGCCCAAAGATACTCCTGGCTCCATGGATCCAGTTACCCTGCCGTCCTGGCTCCCACATTGAATGGCGCCGAAGAGCGAAGCGTGGCCCTCGGAGTCCTGCTGTTCCACCTTGGCCCTGGCGCTCAGCAGATCCTGCCAATACGTGCAAAAATCCGGGTTCAACCCGTTGGACAGTAAACTCTGCCAAGTTGAAGTACATGTCTTTACAGGTCACAGGTCGAGGCAGATTTCGTTTTGAAAAGCTAACAAGACCAAACGGAAATCAGGTCACTAGGTGACATATCAGAGATAGATAAAATGATAGAGAGATAGATACCTCAGGGATCGAAAACCTCCACCAGCTCATAGTCGGACTCACATCGGCCAAACTGGGTGCCGCATCCCCAGAGACCATGAAAGCCGACGAAAATCCCCATGTTTGGTGAGTAAATCCGACTTGTCACATCTTTTCACTATGTAATTTGCCCATGGTACATATCTATATTATCTATGGCATCTATGGTAGCAAGTGTCCTGTACGACTACGTACTGCACGCCCCAGCGCGCAGGACATCTGGGGAAATTCGACGACCGTGACAAAGTGAACTGGTGGGGGGGAACATAACTAAGGGATTCTCGGAACAAGAATGGCATCTAACAGAATCCAACATGAAGTCAACCAGCCCAAATCTGGGATTAGAGTGTGTTCAAAAACAAAACCGTGCACATGGAACCCGAATAGTGCGGTCAGAACGATAGTGTTACCAATGGACATGGCCAAATACGGAACATGGCCTTTTCTCAAAACCTATCTCGACCCGCATCCGCAACGCGAATAGCCAATAGCTAGTGGCACGAAGACTTGCAATAGACAGAAAAGATATAATGCACGATGGATCACGATGGTATAATGGTCTTGTACTGTATCATTATATCAATATTCCCATTATTCCCTGCATATCTTACCTAACCTTTCAAATAATTACACAAATTGGAGGTATATATGAGGCATCGAAAACATACCTCGGGGCCACGGATGCCAGGGATGCATGGGAGTAAGGCACATATCTGGTCCAAGTTGCGGACGGGTCAGTAAAGTCAGGTCCAAAGATAGAAAGCCCTCGCACGGCCGCGGGGCGTCCGAATACCTGGCGCAAGCAGCGATGGCAGACGAACATGTTACCTGCCAAGTGTCAGAGGCCTTTTTGGAAGAAAGTGGCGAAGCATCACCACCAACAAGCCCAGCACCACGTGTTGAGACCAAGGTGCGCATGGCATCGAAGCTGCGCATGGCGGCAGCAAGCGCACGCTGCAGGTGTGGCTTTGGCTGCGGGCGCGTAGGATGCGCTGATGCGGACCCGCAGCACTGTTCCTGTGCTCGTCTATAGCAGGATGTTACGTTGGGTTCGGACCCTGGGACTGTGAAAAAATTCAACCAGAGAGAGAGAGCGATAGATATATATATATATACAGATACATATAATATATATATATTATATATATATATACATAGAAATATAAGTAGAAATATACATATACAAATACAATATATACATATACATATGTAATTAATATACATAACATCGACCTAATCTTCTATAATATCGCTCTAATCAACAATCTATATACGGTTTCTGTCAGATCCGGTTGGCCACAAAAGCTGAAAGCATGGTGTGGACCCTATGACGTATCACCGTACGATCGTTGGGGGAATCTATTCGTGTAAAGCAAATCGAATCCTAGTTTCCCGGGAGTTTGCTAGTTCTCCCGTAGATTCAAATAGACATAGCTAGTCAGACATGATATTTCCAAAACCGGCTGTTGACTGTTGCACAATGAAGGTAAGCAATCGCTCGCAAAGTGCGACATGCTGCCTGCAATCCCGCTCGGGGCGGATGTCGGAATCTGACCCAAGGCCGACGGAAGTCGAAGCTTGGGGTTAAGCTGGAAATGTGGAGTTTGCCCCCCGTCTGCCCCCCCAACAAGTCGCTGGCGTTCCATCAGTTGGTGGTGCGCCATGCCGGTGTCAGCCCATCCAACCTTTGTAGTCGGCACCGCAGTCTCTGGACCACTGAGTTGGGAACCGGTGCTGTGTAGGATCCAGGATAGTATAATCACAACAATAGCTCTGAATGGGCGACCCTCTGCCTGTGCTTCCATGTAAGTCCTGGGCATGATTAACATCAGCGACACTGTCTGAGCTGACACAAGTACGCAAGCGTCGTATGTTGCCAAGAGACTTGATGGAATGCTGACAAGAATGTTGTTTGTTGTGTGCTCGCGCATACCCTAACAGAAGGAGTTCTTGATGAACAGGGTTCGTGTTGCTGAGCACAACCTGCAGAGCAAGACGCAAAGTCTCCCCGAGGGGGACGATGGGAAGTACAACAAAGAAAGTCTAGGCAAGATACCACACAGGACCCAAACGCAGGAGAACCCGGCCTGCCATCGACTGGCCAAGCTGAATATTTGCTCAGCAGCTTCAGTGTCCACACCTTGCAGCTGGTGGTACTGATTCGGGTTCACATCGGGCACATACCAACTACTGCTAGCATCTTTGCAGGCAGTGTGGGATTTGAAATGAAGTCTGTCGATGACCCATTTCAGCTGCTTCAAAATGTTCCAGCATGCACCACCACGTTTCCTCAGCATGCGCACGACGGCGCAAGCATTGTCGTAGATGACATACTGCAATGCCTGAGATGGAACGTGGTGACTGCAGGGTGAAGGCCCCCCAAAACAAGTCTGCAAGCAGAACCACTAGAAGGCAAGGCACAGAGAAGATGGCACATATTGCCCAGACGCAAAGCACCACTTGGGTGCATGACTCGGTGGCGTACATCGGGCCAATGGAGACGATCCTCACTTGCACAGTCGGTGCAAAGCCAAGACGGTAGGGGAACACAAGACCAAACGCACAACGATGCAGGCACGAGAAGAGAAACTGGCAACAAAGCGGAAGCAATGCAAGGATCTGAAGGCACGGCGTGACAGCGACAAGAATGCCGGCTGTACGCCGGCCGCACCCTGTCTCGCAGGCGTCCTTCCGCTCGTCTCGGTTGCACGAGCCTTCCTGTCAGCCACCGGAAAGAAAAATGAGAAAGCCGACCACGCAGCAAGAGACCCAAAACTAGGCACAGAAGGCCAAGAAAGCAGCTCGCCTGCTTCTGCGACGGCTTTCGCCGTAACAATTGCAGCTCGTATTCTTGGACTCCATGTGGTGGGACAGCAGCAGAAGGCAACCAAGCATCAGCAACCTTGTACTCAATGCGGACACCCGCTGCATCAGTGACCTAACAGGGGATGAAGATGCCAAGACACACGCCGGAGAAGCAAGTCCCAACCTACCTGGCGGTGATCCAAGATGGCCGCCGCTGGCGACAGTGTTCGCTCTGGGCGGCCCAATGTATGGTGCGAGCAGTGCTTGCTGCCGCGCGAGGGTCTATGCCCACAGCCCCGCATAAATCCAAGACAGAGTTCTGCATCGAAGACGGGTGAGCAGTTGCGCGTGTTACAGATCAATGTCTGCACGCTCCATTTGCCATCCACCACAATGGCAGGGACTTGCCTGAAAAGCCAGCATGCATGAGCCTTTGCTAGGGTCTTGAAAGCTTCCCGGACATGCGGCACAACATCACAGAGATCATTGGCCACATGGTGCGGGCGCAAGGGCCAAGCGATGTTCGCGACGTCTGCCCGGGCATCATGCAACAGTTGCAAAGAAGACCAAATGACAACAGCCAGCAAGAGTTTCTTGATGAAGTGCTCCCTGTCTGTGTGCTGAAAGTGTGCCATGGAGTGATGCCATATGCCATAATAAACTGCATGGAAAGCTGTCATGCTCATGCCAGCCCGTGCAGCGAGGCCAAGGACCAAATCCAGCAACAAGACTTCAAATGCAATCTGCGGCGTCCTGGGACAGAATTGTCGAAATGAAATATAATAGCAAGAATGCAGAACACAAAGCGACCGAATGAAAATCCTCTGGCTAATGAAGTGGACGGTGCAGTCTAGTCTATCACATGCTGGACACTACACTGAGGGAAAGACGCAAAGAACCACTTGACATTGATGTTGGGGAAACCCATAAACCAAACCGTGTGAAAGCCCGCCGGGAAGTGTGAGTCAGCCGCGACATTGCGCCACCGCCAGCAACCACCGAAGACAGTGCGACAAAGATCACAGCGCAGAAACAAGACCTTGCCTGGGACTGCGCCGCGGGCAAGCGTGAAGAAAGTGGCATCGCAGACTCTCCAACGGACGAGTTGGGCCCCGCAGTCACAATGGCTCACAGTGCAAGGTGCATATTCTGCACGGTTCATGGCCAAGATGCCAAGAGGCCGGCCAGGCCAATGAACAGGCTCCACGGCAGCAAAGGGGGAAGGCCGCAAAGTAATCCATTGTGGCGCCTGTGACAAGGTCTGTTGCAAAACCTGTCGTACCACTGTCTCCGAGCACAACTGCGGGTCTTCCCCCGCAGCTTGCAAGAGACGCGAAATCAACGGAATTCGGCCCAAGGAATCCGAAGCATGGTACCCTAAGCAAATCCATCCAAGAGCTCTGGGAGGCAGAGGACGCAAAACAGACTCCACCGTTGGCACAGGAGCCATAGCACTTGCTGTGACTGCGCTACTTTTGGGCCACTTCTGCTGCAAGTTGAAAACACCTCAACGACTGGCAGGAAGCCAAAGCAACCTTGTCACACAAAATGTGATCAGACAGACCAAAAGACACCATGGAGACAGCAAAACCTTCCTCTCTCTTTCTCGCCTGAAAGCATGATCCTTGCATAGCTTGAAACAAGCTAGTGACAAGCAGATTGCGCCCAAAGGCGTCATGTCAATGAATTACAAATTGAAAGATTTGCGCAGAAACAGTTCCTCGTCTTTGCCGCGGCTGATGCACAAGGTCGCACACACATCTAAACTCCAAAAGAAGGTTCCGATGGGAGTGGCCGATGGTCCTCCACTGGGAGCACGAACGCAGAGAGATACGCGGATGGAGATATACATATACAGCAATATGTACACATATGAAAACCTAGACAATATTGAATGTAAATATCCAGATTCATATGTATACATATGTAAATAACACATGTCATTATGGCATATACAATATACTATCAGATAATATTATCTATAAATATAAACTGCCTCTCTCTCTCTCTGTATTGCTCGCCACCTGATAAAATACACCTCTGATGACAAGGACAAGATGAATATATACATATATATAGATATATATAAAAATAAATTTCTCTATGTATACTATATATTTATCTATTTAAATGGATACATATGTATATATAGAGATGCATACATATGTATTCACGCCGCTTCGCGGCTGGCATGCGCCCGCACCGGGATGCGTTTGGAAAATAAGCGCGAAGAATTTGATAGCCATGTAGATCGGACCAAAGAAGGTCAACAAAGAACGAAAAACATGAAAAAACGGCGAAATTGCGGTCATGTACACTGATTTTGCGCAGTGAGAAGCAGAAACCACTGCAAATACCATGCTTTTTGATGGTCAGGTGGCCAAAAACACTGCAATTTACAGTGTTTTTTGAACTAACGTCCAAAACAAGGGGGGGCCCGAGAACCCAAAAGCAAAACGACAGCAAACAAATGAGTAATACTGATAATTGGTTTATTTCTTTTTCGCCTCTTGCCAGCTTCTTTTTAGAAAATGAACATTATGGACGCATTCACTGCAAATTTCATTTTTCCCCACCTGCCAGGTGAGGGTTGTTAGATTTTATCAGAGTTGTTCTCCTCGGCTAGCTGTCCTCCTCGTCCTCGTCCTCCTCGTCCTCCGCCTTCTACTCCTCCTCTGCCTCCTCCTCCAGTTTCTCCTCGCTCATGTCTGCATCAACTTCCACCTCAACTTCCGCCTTGCCAACTCTTCGCCAAGCTCTTTGCCAACTTCCCAGCTCAATGTGCACCGCTGGACCTCAATGTGGGACCAAACCAGCTCAGTGTGCACCGCTGGACCTCAACCTGGGACCTTCCCAGCTCTGCGTGCACCGGTGGACCTCAACCTGGGACCTTCCCAGCTCAGTGTGCACCGCTGGACCTCAACCTGGGACCTTCCCAGCTCTGCGTGCACTGCTGGACCTCAACGGCCAGATAGAATGCCAGAAGATATGCCAGATAGAGTGTTAGAAAATATGTCAAATAGAATGCCAGAAGATATGCCAGAACATATTGCAGAAGATATGCCATGTAGAATGCCAGAAGATATGCCAGAAAATATGCCAGAAGATATGCTAGATAAAATGCCAGAAGATATGTCAGATAGAATGCCAGAAGATTTGCCAGTAACAAAACGTATAAATGTCATGGTGGGGATAACTCGAAGTAAAGTAATTTCAGCTCTGCGCGGAAACATTGCATGACAGTGCGCAATAGTCAAGCAAGCTCATTTGAGCACGGTCATGCGACGGCGGCTGATTTCCAAATCAACCTCTCCTTTCCTTTCCCTTCCTTTCCTTCCTTTCCCGTCCTTTCCCTTCCGTTCCCTTCCTTTTCCGTCCTTTCCCTTCCTTTCCCTTTCTTTCCCTTTCTTTCCCTTCCTTTCCCTTTCTTTCCGTTCCTGTCCCGTCCCAGCAACCAAACAATCTAATCCGCTGGGGGGTTTCCTAAACCGATTTAATCAAATGGGGGTGTGCTTTGAAGTTGCTACGCACGGAGCGGTTCGCTCCCCCCAATTGACCAAATCAGTTAATAATTAATATATTCTATAATATTAATAATGTATAGACAAATATATGTAAGTAAGTATGTGTCGTCCCATGTCATCTTTGACATTTGCTGTCATGGGCATGAATGGGGCCTCTACAAAATACAAAACCAAGCATGCCAAACATCCAACACCACCTCTACCAAATAGATGTCCATCCAATCTACTCCCATCAAAACATGACACAACAATGCCAAAAATGGCCTCTACAAAATCATTGCCGAGCAAAATCGGGTCTTTCAAAATTGTTTTTTTACGATGCTCAATCCTCTATTTTGTAGACAAAGTTGGGGTTTGAACTGGTGACCCTGCACTGGCTCGAGAGGTGTCAGCACCTCATTATTTTGTAGAGAAAATGATCAAAGGGACTACTACTACTACTACTACTACTACTACTACTACTACTACTACTACTACTACTACGACTACGACTACGACTACGACTACGACTACGACTACGACTACGACTACGTCTACGACTACGGCTGCAGGGGCAGGTCCGCGAAGCCTGTCTACGTGCCTGAAATTGGCTGTTACTACAGAACAGGTTCGCATGGTAAAGGTGTCCAAGCTGACCACATGTGCTCCTGGGAGAAGATCCTCCGTTGGCGGTCTTCATCCCCCTGCCAGGCTATGGCTTGCGCACGTGAGCATGCTGCTGCAAAAGGTTGAAGCTCTTTTTGTTATGTATATATATATATATATATCTATCTATCTCTCTCTCTCTATTTATGTATCTATATATATATATCTCTCTCTCTCTCTCTGTCGTTCTCTTGGCTCTATGCGATACAGACTAGATCGACTGCGATCTCAAGCTGTGTGAAGACCAAATAGCTCAGCAAATTGCAAGGCACCCAAGGCCGAGGCCAAAAGAAGATAGCAGACAACCAGAAACAAACATTCAAGAGGTCTGCATCAAAATAGGAAACTGCTCAGGCCAACCGTGCCCCTCTCTTGTGAATGTTGCGGGTGAAAGACACTGCGCAGGCCAGGCGCTACTAAGCACTTTCATCAGCATTTCTGGCTGTAAGCCTGCACCTTGAATGACGAGAAAGGTAAAGTGTAGTCTGCTCAGTAAAGGTCCAATGCTAATAAAAGATATGAGACATGATGATGACTCCGCAAACACTTAGCACCAAAGAGTTCTAGCACCGCATGGCCCACGGAAGTTGAATGTCGCTAAAATGCAGCTGCTGCTCCACCCAAGGCGACCCGAGCCTCATCATCACTCACCTGCAAGCGCTACACAACATCGGATGCAGCGTCACTGCACGCGCACTGAGTGCATGTGTAAAATCCGCAGACACATGAACAATTGATTCGTTTGAGCTGCCACACAAATGACGCCTCTGAAACGTCAATGACCCCTTCATAGACATCCTGCAGTCATAAGTGTTGTGTCCCGACAGGGATGAATGCGCATGAATCGATCCGAAGCACTGCTTCTTGAAAGCTTGCTGCATCGGCCTGCTGTGGATGCTGCACCTGACTGAATGACGCAAGGTCCCAAGGGTTCGAAGCAGCCAATCCAAATCACCGAAAATCAGTGCTAGCTGGCCAGGGGGAAGCTGTTAGAAAAAACATGCGGTGGAACTAGCTAGAGCTTGCAAGACTGCAAAGCGCCCCGTATAGGAAGAGGCAGAAGCAACTTGCATCCTCGAAAATCACGCCTGGCGCCTCGCCTCGTGCTTGACCGCGCGAAAGGCAGGGCAAACCTGACAAGGTCAACAAAGGCTTGCCATGGTAACATGCACGGGAAACGAGGAACACTTCTTGCTGGAGTGGTACTATGTCATGGCATCTCTGCGAAGCAAAGTGAAGCACTGTGAGAATACAGCCTGTGACGACTGCAATGAAGGTCCGGGTGAATGTATCGATGAGCGAATGAATGGGTGCAGGACTGAAGCAAGGCAGGAAGGAAGACATGAAGCAAGGACAGAAGGAATGAAGGAATACACCCAATCGGGAAAGTCAGTGCACCGTCTCTTTGAAACACAAATCACCATGGGACGCCGCGCATTCGGGAAGTCAGAGAAGTCAGCGCAATTTAATATACATTAGCATGGGACGCTGTACGCCAGCAATCATCTAATTTGTTGAATGTTCGGTGCTTTTGATGGCTCTAAAATTAGGAATCTCATTGTGGACGCTGCATCTATGCAGTCGTTATTTTAAGTCATTTTGAATGACGATGTTGAAAAACGCAGTGGGACGCAAGTTTCACCAGAACTCAAAGTGAAGCGACCAACCAAAGATACAGGTGCAAGGACGGATACAGTCCAAACAATGGCCGACAAGGCGAGCGTTGGCCGTTGGCCTCAAGCACGCAGGGCTGTTGCCACTCCGATCGCCCGGCCAGTGACGACTGCTGTGTGTGCCCCTTGTGGCGCACGCAACTCGGTAGTGGGAAGGTAAGCAGCAGCAGCAGCAGCAACAGCAGCAACAGGACCAGCAGAACCAGCAGTAGTAGCAGTAGTAGCAGCAGTAGCAGCAGGAGCGACAAGGCAAGACAACGCAAGACAAGGCAAGACAACGCACGTATTTCCGGCGATACTCTGGCGATACCCCGGCGATGCCCTAAGATGGAGAAAAAAACTCGCCACCAATCCCCCTCATCATTTCAACACAATCACATCTCCAAATTTCAAAAGGGCAAAACCCAACACAATCCAATTCCCAATGGAACTGACACATTCGGTAAATTCCAAACATGCAAAAACGCAGGTAAAAGTATCAATAATCAAAACCATGTTTTCCAACCACAAGCTGGACGCCGCACGCATAGACTTCCACAATTCTTTCCCCCCAACTAGACGCAGCAAACTATGTCAACGCCTTGAGTTTCCAAGTGGAGAGTAGGAAG